CCGTTCCAGGATTGGACTCATGCTGCAGTGGCTTCAGAGAGCTTCATAATGCGGCACTTTACCCAATTGCATCACCATGGAGAGCCCAAGAACCAACTTTTTATTAGCACTTTTCTTGCTTCCCTAATGGAGAAATCACATCTTAGAGCCAGCCTGAGTAACATCATCCAGAAAGAGGCTCTTCTCCTCTGTCACCTCCACACTGGGGGTCTGCTCTTTCTAGCAGGTGCCAGATAAATGTGAAAGAATAAAGAACAGTCTGGGAGGAAAGAAGAAGCTGGAGATTTCTAAAGTGGGTGAATTCTTCCTAAAACAATCAAGCATAGTCTGTCTCAGTGAAAGCACACTTTCCCCTTTTTGCTTATTAGCTAATTTTAGGAGAAATTTTCACAGACATTATTGCAAATAGAGGAAGTTTTAGGAGGCTGAAAGCCCAGAACGGCTGGATTCCAGCAGAATGCAGGGACCTCAGATTTGGTCACTGCCCCTCCCCTCACTGTCCTGCTCACAGGCTCAGAATGGACATGGCTCTTGATTATTTTTTTTTTAAAGATTTATTTATTTGTTCATATAGAACTGGGGTACAGGCCAGAGATGCGGAGGGTGAGAGAATTCACCAGGGACAGAGTGAGGAGCAGAACAGGCAGATGCAGGAAGTACACTGCTGAGGGGAGCAGCGGGTGGGCCAGGAGAGGTCTGCCACGTCATGTGGATCTCCTCCGGGGCAGGGAGGAATCGAACTCGTGCGGAAGTGGCTTAAGCTTCTTTTGCAGTGCATTAACCTGCTGCACCACCAGGGAGGGCCCTCTTGATTAATTTTGTGTTTAAAAGAATGTTTAGTGACTGGAGGTCACTCATTAAAAAATTGCCATGAGCCTGGGGGAGGGGTAGAGGGAGACTGGTGTTTAAAGCATGTTAAAACCACTTGCCACTCTGCCTGTGTGTCCCTGCAGGGAGGCCAGCATCACTGGGTCAAATGTAGTCCGGAGCCTCCTTCCCAGAGCCCTGGCTGCTCTGGGGAGACAGTGCTGGTGGCTCAGTTGACTCCAGACCAAAGTCCAGAGTCAGAACATGTCCTGAGTTGTATGGCCTGGTAAAGGAAAAACGTACTCACTGAGGATGGTATTAAGCTTTAAAGGAAATTCGACTTGTTTAAGCATTGGTGCCCTAGTTGAATGGAGAGAGTCCCCCGTGAGGACCCACAATAGGGGATGCTGGCAAAACTGCACAAGGCAAAGGGACTCGCAATTCAGGACTGGCTGGACTTCGGGTTGCTAAGTATGACTGACTGCTGTGTCCTGAGTCCATTTGTTGAGGCTGCTGAATTTGCTATTCTCTATTGGCACTGACCCATTTTCAGTTGTCATCAGTGGATGCCAGCATCCTTTCCTCTATCTGTAGACATTGCCAAATGTCTCTGGATGGCAAAAATCACACCCAATTGAGAACCACTGTCTCAGACAAGTTACCCTTCATGAAATTCTTCACATTAACCACTGTGATTGATTGGTAGTAGCTCGTCCAGTTATCAGAAGAAAACCAATTTCAAGCCATGTTGCCTTCATGCAAGTACTCCATGCTGACCCCACTCTACCTTGGGTTAGCTAAATCTAAGGGTCAGCTCGGGACCCAGGTCTCCCGTGTCCTTCTTTAAGCCATTTCAGCCATGTCTTTCTCACAGGGCCAACAGGGACAAGAGAAAATGTCCAATGGAGACTCAAGCTTCCTTCTAGACCACATTCTGGGTGTCAGGACATGAAATGCCTGTTCAAAAGGGCTGATCCTGCATTCAGAGCCTAGGTGACTTCTCAAGGTCCTTTCCCAGGCTATGGACTGTGCCACTCAGGACACCCCAGTGGGGCCCAGGGGT